AGCTTAATGGCAGTTTTGATCGGAAAATGACAAAGTGGTAGAACAGCAATGGCGAGGTCGGAGTTAGGGTTTCCGGTGGCTGGGAAGTGGGTGGATGGTTTAGGGTGTAGGGTTTATTTGGTAAAAACTATATAGCAATGGCTGCACCCAAAGTGGACTGCCTACATACCCAAACGGGATCAAGCCATATGTAGTTCTGCTGATATAGGCTATACAGTCCAAGTCAAACAAAACAGACTAGACAAGCCTAAGTAGTCTAAGTATCAAAGGTCAAAGGCAATATGCCTAAGTCATCAACACCAACCAAGCAATATTAAGTCTATCAAGTCTAAGTAATCAAACTAAGTATCCCAAAAAATAAGTAAGATAGTGAGGCTTGATACTAGAAATGAAAAGTCGAGAGACCATCTGCATCCGCTCGAATGAGACTTTTGATCGACGAATGATATATATCGCGAGAAGTGTCCGCTTAATCCAGGATTTCTCAACTGCGATCCTTGATGTATAAACTATTTTTTTATATATGTAGTTTATATATTATTAATATATTATTCCAAACATGACCCGGATCCAGACCCAATACTCAAATAATAGACTCAACTTCAAATAAATAAATTAGATATAAGTCGGGCCTCGAGTTTACGCGAACCTATTGTCATTCCTATTAAATTATTGATATTTTTTAATTTATATTAATAATAAATTATATGTTTAATTTAGCAATAAAATTCATATAATAACAATTATATAATTTAGAATATAAAAAATTTAAATTTTATAACTCATATAGAAACAAATGAAATGTAAAAAATATAAATATATAAATCTGAATCCCATAAAAGTTAAAAAACAAAGCGCTTCATATATATATATATTTGAACTCATTAAGCTACCCATTGATCTAGCCATTTTCCGGCCACCACACTACCGCCAACGTCTTCATCAGCCAAAAAACCTCCAACTTGGTTATTCGCACTGTCGTATTGCCGTCGGAAAACTGCCCTTCCGACCGGGTTTAGGGTTTAAGGTTTAGATATTCGACTTGGAGGATATCTCATATATATAGGAAAGGGAACCTTGTCACGGATGCCTTAGCGACTCTGGCGGTTTCTCTTTCGATTGAGCGGACACTTCTCCCGATAGATATTCCTTCGTAGATCAAAAGTCACATTCGAGCAAATGCAGATGGTCTCCCGACTTTCTGTTTCAGGTAGCAGACTTTACCCTCTTACTTGTTTTTTTGGACACTTATTGTTGATATTACTTAGACTTGATAGGCTTAGTATTGCTTGGTTTGTGTTGATGTCTTAGGTGTATTGCCTTTGACCTTTGATACTTAGACTACCTAGGCTTGTCTAGTCTGTTTTGTTTGACTTGGACTTTATAGTTTGTATCAGTAGAACTACGTATGGCTTGATCCCATTTGGGTACGTAGGCAGCCCACTTTGGGTGCAGCCATTGCTATATAGTTTTTACTAAAAAAACTCCTAAACACTAAACCCTAAACCATCCATCGACTTCTCAGCCACCAGAAACCCTAACCCCGACCTCGCCATTGCTGTTCTACCACTTTGTCATTTTCCGATCAAAACTGCCATTCTAATTTTTTTTTATCTATTTATTTTTTAATATATAAAAGAATTAGTGGCAATAATTTAAATTATAAAAAGTATTGTTTATAAAGAAAGATATTTTGCAAAATATAATTTATTTTTAAGGTTTTATAAATTCTATAATAATAAATTTGTTTTTATTTATTTGTTGTTATTTATATTTATGTGTATATATATATATTAAATTTTATACAATTCAGTGTTTTTAATATAATAATTTTATTAATATATTTTTTAAATATCATATATGTATATATTTGAATCGCTTTATGTTAAATTTGAATTTTAAACAATTTTTTAAATTTTTTTCTTTTTTGCTTTTTTGAATATGTTGATTGCTTAAAGTAGTTCAACATATATTTTTGTTTTTTTATATATATTATATATTTGTTTGAGAGCTTGAATGTTGAGTTGGGATTTGAATAGTAAAAATTTTGAATTTGAATAGTTGTATGATGTGATATAAATAGGTGTTGATTGATATTTTGAATGTAAAATTGATTTTTAGTATAATATAAAAAATGAAAAATAAGTATTTGATTTGATGTTTTTTGAAGAAAAATTAGGATGAATAGTGAAAATCTAATCCAATCCCTCAAACAAATACACCCAATTTGTGTTATTAAAGTAAAATAATAATAATCATAATAATAATAATAGTAATTATTATTTGATAGTATGTTTTGATAAACAATTATATATTAGAAAAAATAACTTTTCTATTTTTATTAGTTTTTATATAATGTATATATGGATAGAAAATTAATAATTAAGATATTTTTTAATATTTTATATTAAATACTATTATATATTGAAATATTGGTATATACAATATGTTATAATTAAGAAGTTGCAGGGGTTTATATTTAGGCTGACGATGATGTGAAAAAAATTTTGGGAATCTTGAAAGTTTTTTTAGAAAAATAAAAAGGTTTTTTTCATTCTTATTTTATAATAAATATGCATGTATTTTTGTGTATATATATATTATGATTTTCAGCCATTTTTGTTTGTAACACAAAAGTTCAGTTAGGCTCCTTCATTCCCGCTTGCTTCTCTATCTTCGACTGCACTGCCCTCCGGCTGGCTGTCTGCCCTGGGACGGCGATTACAACAACACCTGGAATTTTTTATTTGTTAGGCAAAGTATTTGAGGATGATGATGTGGTCGCTTGTGTGTGTGTTTTTTTTTTATTTTCTTTTTTCTGTTCTTAAATGGTATTGAACTTGCAATTTATTGTGTTGTATTTTCTCCCTTCTTAATATTCTATTGTGTTGTATTTCGTAGTTTATTGTTTCATGTTTTATCCCTTCTTAATACTTTATTGTGTTGTATTTCATATAATTTTAAGTGAAATGAAAGTGAAGTAAATGAGAACTTATTTACATATATTTATTTTTAAATTAATGTTATGCTGTAACGAAAAAATAAAATTCTTTTCCCAGTTTATATTTTTTTTATTTTTTAATGCTCTATTCCACCGTGCACAAATAATGTATACATATTGTATAAATGAAAAATAAGAGTTGTGTAAGTTGAGTTGTTTGAACTCTCAATCTACACTAAGCTAATTAAATTTACTGTTTTGCTTTAAGAAATTTCATGTAAAACTCTTTTATTTACTGTTATAATTATTTGAGAATGTAATATTAATAAATTGTATCTATTTATTTCAACAAAAATTAATAATTTTAAAAAATTTGTTTTTTATTCCCTTATTCTAAAGTTTGTTACTATTTATGTGTATCATGTTAATTATCTTTTGAACTTTAAAGTAAATATTTAATATTTTCAATTGAATTTATTGTATATATTTTAATTAACTTCAATTAATAATAAATTTCTTTAGTTTTTAAAATTTATTAATTAAAATATTATCTTTCTTTTATGTAATTAAAAATTAAATTTAGAATCTTGAAACTTCATCTAGATATAGAGTATTTTAATTTTAAAAAATTCTTAATATAATAAACTATTAATTATTTCATATGATATAATAATTATTATAGCTTTAATATAAAATTATTTTATAACATAACATATAAAATAAAAATTATGCATTTATTTGAATATATAAAGAAAACTCATATAATAATAATAAAAAAAAGGTGTGTTTGTTTTGTGTTTTGATATTTTTTTATGTGAAGTATAAAAAATTTTAAAAGAATAATTTTTAGTTTTTTGAAAATAAAAAGTGATGTGTAATATATTAATTCTTGAAAAAATATGTTAAAATTTTTGTTAAAAGAATAAAGCTATTCAGTATATTTAAAAATATAATTGTAAATCTAACTAAAACAATTATTCCATTTTTAATTTTTTTTATAATTATTTTTTTTAATAAAATCGAATATCAAATAAACAATGTAATAAACTATTAATTTATATTTTTGGATATATTTTATAGCATTTGATTTGTTTATGAAAGAATATGTTGCAAGATAAAATATTGGAGTATAATTTTATTTTTAAAGAAGATATTAAGAAATTTATGTTAATTTTTTTAGAATGTAAGTTATTTTGCATTTATAATTATTTAAATATATAGAAGTATTAAATTATAACATTATATTCAATCAAGAATTAAAAATTTATACTTTGATCTTTCAATAAAAATTTTTAACATATTTCCCCAAAAAATTAATATATTACATACACATTTTATTTTTATATTACATAAGTAATTTTTCATACCTCAAATAAAAAAATATCAAAATACAAGACAAACACACCCGTTACAAAATAATAAAATTATCTATAAATAGTAATTAACATATTTATTTCTCATATTTTAAAAGTAAGCTTCATTAGTGTGTGAAAAAATCATACTTAACTATGAATTTGTATATTTATGTTATAAATACTAAATTATTATTTGACTAAATATTTTGGTAATAAATTCTTAAAAAAATTTTAAATTTAAAAATATGTTTCATCGTGCCTTTTAATTTAAATTGTAGATATTAAAAATTTTAATTTATATAATATTTGCGACATTAATATTAAATTTTAATATAATAAATAAATAAATATTTGATTTAAAGATTTTTATAAAAAAATTGTAAAAATAGTAAAAAGTCTATAAAAATTTACAACCAAACACAACATAAGATTATTTCTTTCTTATATAACATATATAGTTTATTCACATTATTTTTAAAATTAATTAAAAATATATTTAATATATAAAAAATTATAATACAATAAATACAGTGAAATTTAACTGTGCGTAGCCCACGCATCCGGTAATTTAAATAAGTTTTGGAATAGACCATTTGATGCCCGGCCCAGCCCAGGCAGCCATGGTGTCAGCGCTTCACGGTGTGAACACATCCCACAACGCGATTCTTCGCCTGCAGTTTCTTTTTTTCCCTTTGACCATTGTCTCTCCCACTCAACAGATACTTTCTGTTTCTTTCAAGCCAGTCTACGCTCGCTGCACTTAAGCTCCTTTTAGAATAAACAATTCAAAGCATCCTTCTCCATCCGTCCATCTAACTCTGATCCAAGTTATGTCAAGCTTTCGTTCTCTGCGCATCTCCATCTTCACCACTATTTTACTCGTTTCTTCTCCGTCGTCTACGTTCTCATTTCGGGACGAGATTCTTGTCCACCGTACATCGGGTAGTGATTCTAGTTTAATATATCTTTCCAATTTGTTGTTGTTGTTGGACGATCTAATGCTCATCGTGTTAGAAATATGTCCAGGAAAATTATTTGGGGGAGATTGTGCGGCAGTTGTACCTTGGAGCAGAGCAGAACGGTTGTTAATTGACGATATCAGTGAGCAACAGGTAAACTCCTCATTTTCGTTGGCCGCAAAACGGACATATAGGAAAGATCCTCTCAATGATTTCAAAAAGTACACGGGTGGCTGGAATATCAGCAATCGCCATTATTGGGCTGTAAAGTTTCTCTTTCTCTCTCATTTTTTATTATACTGTTCATGTTTAACAAGGTGTTTGAGATATCCAACATGAATTTAAAGAGAGAAAAAAAATAAACCGAAAATTTGCTGCTATAATGTTTGTTTACTTGAGGTTTTATGTCGTTGTGTTGTTTGATTTTGATGCAACAAACCTGTATTCTTCTAACATTTGGCGTAATGTTGATCGAAGAAAGATAAATCATGTGTACAAATTATTATTTTCGTTTTAATTTCTGGTGTAGTTATAATAATATTATTGACCCTTCATGTCCATCCGCATTCATTGCAGTCGGTGGCTTACACTGCTGTTCCTTTTTTCGTTATCGCGGCAATCTGGTTTGTGATATTTGGGCTCTGCTTAACTCTTATCTGCTTCTACTACTGCTGTTGCCGAAGGGAGCCTTATGGATATTCTCGCCTCGCTTATGCACTCTCTCTAGTTTCCCTAATTCTCTTCACCGTTGCCTCGATGTACTCTCTCTCTCTCTCTCATAAATACACTTGTGGGGAGTCATTTTTATATGAAACTCATTACTAAATTTGTGTTTTCAGCATTGGGTGCGTGGTCTTATACACTGGTCAGGGGAAATATCACAGCAGTACTATAAATACTTTGGAGTATGTCGTACAGCAAGCGGATGCTACCTCTGAGAGTCTGAACAATGTGTCGGGATATCTTTCTTCGGCCAGGCAAATCAATGTGGATCAAATGTTTTTGCCTTCTAATGTTCAAACAGACATTGATCAAATTCAAAACAAGATTAACTCTTCAGCTAGCACCCTTTCCAGTAAAACAGAAGGCAATTCCAAAAAAATCAAGAGTCTGATTGAAAGCGTGTAAGTAAATGCCATGAAGAATTCTTCTTTGAGTTTACTTTTTTTTAAGGCAAAACAGCAAAAAAAACACATGTGGTTGCTAAAAACCCCATGTGCTTCTAAAATTCCAAAAAATCTATTTGTGGTTTTCAAAATATTGCAAAAAATCCCCAAAATCCCCCATAGCACGCGCCTGAAATGCGTTTTTTTTCATAGAAGTGATATATTTCTGTATAAAATTACTAAAATACCCTAATAATTACTTTTTACAACATCTTCTTCTTCCTTGTTCTTCTTCTTTGTTCTTCTTCTTTTTTATTCTTCCTCATTCATTCTTCTTTCTTATTCTTCTTTCTTCCTCGTCCTTCTTCTTCTATCTTGTTCTTCTTCTTTTTTACCAAACCCAGAATTACTTTCTCTTGTTTTTTTTTTTTTTATCAAACCCAGAATTACTTTCTTATGTTTTCATCAAACCCAAAAATCTAAAAATTCAATTTGACATCAATATTTGAAATCAATCTAAGAAGAAAAAAAGAACTTGCTGCTCGTTGCAACCGTGTACGAAAGAATTAGGGAGAAAAAATAAAGAAGAAAGAAAATTGGGGAAAAATAGATAGAGAAAAAAAAAAAAAATTGGAGAAACCTGATGCCTTTTTCTCATCTTCTTCTTTCTTTATTCTCTTTCTTTCTTATTCTTGTCCAATTCTTCATTCTTCAAAGAACAATTGGAGATGAAGAATAAGAAAAAAAAATTGGGGGAAAAAGAAGAAAAGAAAGAAGCGGAAAGAACTACAGAAGAATAAGAGAAAAATTGAGGAAAAATACTGTTATGGCTTCAAAAGGAATTGGAGAAGAAGAAGAGTTGGAGAAGAAGAAGAGAAAAATTAAGGAAAAAAAATGTGTGAAGAAGAATTTGGGGAAGAAAAGAAGATGGAAGAAAGAAGTTGGGGAGAATAGAAGAAGAAAGAACGGAAGGGGAGAAACACAGGGGCATAATGGTCTGATAAGGTTAAAATTTAATGCCGTCAGTGTGATTTAAAGGGGGCGAGTGTGCAACGTTTTGCAAACTACGAGTAGGTTTTTTGGAGTTTTAGAACCACGGGGATTTTCAGCAGATTCGGTAAACCACGGGGTTTTTTGCTGTTTTGCCTTTTTTTTAATAGGAAATAAAAATAGCATTAAATAATGTATTCTTGCAGGAGGCTGGCCCTTATCATTCTCTCTGCGGGGATGCTTCTTTTAACATTTCTCGGGTTTGGTATTACTCATCTTAATTTATTTTTGGCAACATTAATTCTTTGGCTTCTATTCATCTTATGTTGAGATTTTGTCTTTCAGTGTTTTCAATATTTGGAATGCAGTTTCTAGTGTACATGTGAGTTTTATTCTTATTGTCTGATTTTCTTGTGCTAGCTCCAGCTTCATGTGTGCACCTGCATAAAAATAACTAATTTCATGTAATCTAATTTGTGCCTAATGTATTCAATTCTAAATGCAGCTTGGTGATTACTGGATGGATTCTTGTAACTGGGACATTGGTACTATGTGGCATTTTTCTTCTACTTCACAAGTATGTTCACCACCAGAATATTCAATCCAATTGTTTTTGTCTTTCCTTCCATTGTCTTTAGTTTTGCCTGGTTCCCATTTTGAATGTTTACTTTGTTTCTTAGGCATTATGGTTATACGTAAAAAGAAGTAGTTACCTACCTTAGCTATTTTATGTCATGGTTTTTAGAATTTATAAAGATTTATTATGCATGGGAACTCAGATATGTACATGGAATAGTGAGGACTGAGGAGAGGTATAGAGATTTTCCCTATCTCTTACCATGTAATATATATATATATATATATCTATCTTTTTTTCATTTTTGGGCGTGGTATTCGTGTGAAAGTAGATTTTCCCTATCTCTTACCATGTAATATATATATATATATCTTTTTTCATTTTTGGGTGTGGTATTCGTGTGAAATTAGATTGGGAAATAAAATCAATAAATAATGAAGAAAAGCATGTGTCATCATATTCTGGTTATGCATGCTTGTACTTGTTAGCCTTATCTTTCTTATCATTTCATGTAACTTAATTCTTTCTAACCTTTTAAGCTTGTTGTAGTGTAACTGGAGATACCTGTGTGGCAATGGATCAATGGGTTCAAAATCCAACGGCTCATACAGCACTAGATGATATATTGCCTTGTGTGGATAATGCTACTGCCCAAGAAACCTTAACAAAAAGCAAGGAAGTAACATCCCAGTTGGTCACATTAATGAATACAATTGTCACTAATGTCTCAAACAACAATTTTCCCCCAAATAGTGGACCATTCTATTTCAATCAGTCTGGCCCGCTTGTGCCAACCCTCTGCAATCCATTCAATTCTGATCTGACAAATAGAATCTGTGCTCCAGGTGAAGTGACCCTGAGCAATGCGACACAGGTATTCAATATGTTGCTTCAGTCTCTGCATTCATATATGTAAGGAAATATTGTTTGGAAAGATTGAGGAGCAGAGATACTTTGTTCATAATTCTTGGATTTTATGAATGTTTGATGGTGATACTAGTTACACCAGCCTTTTTGTCGATTGAGATAACAGGTATGGAGCCGCTTTGTCTGTGAAACATCGGGAAGCAGCATCTGTGAAACAATAGGTCGCCTGACGCCAGCCATTTATGGCCAGATGGCTGCTGGTGTGAATGTGAGCTATGGTCTGTATCGTTATGGTCCATTCCTTGTCAGTCTTGAAGATTGTAGTTTTGTGAGAGAAACATTCTCACAGATAGATGGAGCTTACTGTCCTGGGCTGAGAAGATATAGCAGATGGATTTACATCGGACTGATGATGGTGGGTTCAGCAGTTATGTTGTCACTGGTTTTCTGGGTGATATATGGAAGAGAGAGGAGACACCGCGTGTACACAAAGGCCCACATGCCACGAGGGGAGCATGGTTTCGGAGCTTGCTTAAGCTTTGTCAATGTTGATAATATATATTATTTTATTATTTTTTATATAATTCGGGATCATTTTAAAATAAATTTAATATATATAATTAAAAAATAGAATATATATTTCAATATTTTTAAAATTATATATCAATAAATATATTCAATATGGATATTATTTTGGAGATAAATTTTTTATAATGTAAATAAAAAAAAAAAAATTATTTATTTATAATTGATATAAATTAATTAGGGAAAATTGTAAAAATTGTCTTTTATTTGGGTCAAATTATCGTTTTTAGTCACTTTTTTAATACAAAATAGGACATAATGTTTTTTCTCAGTCTTATTTTTGTCCTCCGGCATAAAAAAATGTTACGTGTCGATCACGTGCTCATACGTGGACATGACATTGCGGATGTGGACTTTTCGGACATGGACCTTTCGGTGCTGACATAATGTGTCGGTTGCTCATACGTGGACATGACATTGCGGATGTGGACTTTTCGAACATGGACCTTTCGGTGCTGACATAATGTGTCGGTTGGCTTTAAGTGACGAAGACATTATTATAATTATTTTTTGGCTAAATTGCATAAAATTCACTCGTGGTTTCATGAAATTGCACCAAATCCCCATACTTTTAAAATTGCGTCAAACTTACTCGTGGTTTCATAAACTTTGCGTAACTGTTAGAATCTCAATTTCTAAACCCCTAAAATTACAAAAATATTTATTTTTTTATATATTTAGCCTTAAAAAATAGTAAAAATAAACTCAAAAATAAACTTTTGACAAAAATAATTATTTTGAGTATATTTACTATTTTTTTAAGGTAAATATAAAAAAAATAAATATATTTGTAATTTTACGGGTTTAGAAATTGATATTCTAAAATTTATTCGTAGTTTAAGCGCATTTAGGTCAAATACCGTTAAATAAATACGCAAAGTTTATAAAACGAAGAAGTTTGACGCAGTTTTAGAAGTACGGGGATTTGGTGCAACTTCATGAAACCATTTAGCTTTATTTTTTTAATAAAACTAAGTTAATTTTTTATTTAATTATAATTTGGCCAAATCAATTAAACACAAAAAATAATACTCAGGACGCCATCACCATTGAGATCGAAGGAAGCTATCATTCCTTGGCAGCCTTCGATGGTGATGGTGACCTTCTATTCCACCCTCAGATTACTTAGCATTCTCTGCCGGGGATGATTTAGGCGTGAAGCACTCGTCGCTGCCTCCGATCTCCTCGTACATCCCGAACGTCGCCTTCAAATCTCTAGTCTTCTCTTCCTTTCCGGCCCCCTTAACTATCTGTAGAAAAATCTTTCAGACACAACAGGCTATCCCCGTCAGAGTCCATGGCCGTCACGGCCACAACTACCTCTTCCGGCGTCATCTCCATTCCAAAGGATCCCAAGTAGGGGTGGAAATAGGCCAGGCCAGGCCAGGCTTTGGTTAAATAGGCTTGGCCTGTCTTAAAAAGATATGGCCTGAGCCTGGCCTACCAGCCTGAAAAAAAATATTTTTAAAGCCTGAGCCTGGCCTTTTTAAAAGTCTGGCCTGGCCTACGAGCCTGTTTAAAAGGCTACATAATAATTTATTATTATTATTATTTTTTTTTTTTGTAAATTTCGTACTATAAATAAAAAATAAAACAGATACAATTATTTATATTATATATAAAAAAATAAAAAATTCTGTTTTTTAATGACAAAAATAATCATTTTTATTGCCATATAAAAATACAATATATTATACTAATAATTTGCAAAAAAACGTATATTACAATTCATTCAAATATATATATAATTATTGGGAATAAGTCTTGCAAACTCCAGACAAAAGCTGATAGAAATTACTGCATAATGACATTAAAAAAAAAAAACAGTTTACATCAATCTATTGTCATTAAGCTGATTGTTCTAACAAAGAAATAAGCAACGCTAACTCAAAAGCAATATTAAAAAATTCGACAAAAATATTTAGAAATTAATAACATAGTTTTTCAAGTTCACGTCACCCACAGGCCACAAGCCACAAGAATTGCAAATTCCCCCAAAGTTTCTGAAACCATTAAATTTGTTCAAGTACAAAAGTTGATCAAATTAGTATTATATCTGAAATTTCTTCCTTCTATATATAAATTACGCAAAGCATCAAAAAATTATATTAGAACAAAAAGAAAAAAGGAATATCTTACTTACCAATACAATAAAAGTTTCAAGAGAAAAATAGCAAATAGATCAATAATATCTTCTGGACATTAGCATTTCCACTCCTGAAATCAAAATTTAAAATTTCAGCACCTGCAAACCTATCCAAATATTTTAAAATAAATAAATAAATAATTGTAATATCAAAACAACCACCTGCAAACCTATCTAAATATTTCAAACAATACATCCTGCAACAAATTTCAGAAAATCAAAGTTGAATCCTCCCAAAATACATCATGCAACAACAATATCTTACTAAAAAAATCAGATTTTCAAACAATTAATCTGTATAAAAAATTTCAGAAAATATTATAAATTTAAAACGTACCGCAACCAAAGTATTAAAGAACTTCTTTAATCTATAAGCTTATCTCCTTCAAAGACTCATTCACCTTCAAATGAGAGAAATATTTTTATTAGAAAAAAATATATTGTGGGTGATGAATAAGATAAAGAAAAGACAGTTAATAATAAAATTTACCTTCTTTTTTTTCAAGTTGTATTTATGTCGAAGCCAATCTCCTCCACAAATTAGTGTCTCAATAGATTCTTCATTCAATCTTGAACGATATTCATCTATAATTCTACCTCCAGCACTAAATGTAGACTCTGAAGCTACCGTTGATATTGGAATCGCAAGTACATCAGCAGCCATCTTCGATAAAACTTTATATTTCATGCTGTTGTTCCTCCACCACTCCAAGGCACAAAATGAAGACATATTTCCATCATGAATATAAACACTGTCCTCGAGATAGGCATCCAATTCAGATTTTGATACAGGAATTGCTTCTTTTGCTCTTACAAGACTCATAATTTGATCAAACCCAGTAACTATCGCAGATTCAGATTGGGTGGTGGCAGAGGAGATGTTAGCCATATTGCACTGACTTGAGGATGATTCTTCAACACTTAAGGCCACATAATCATTATATAGTTGTTGCAGTGAAGCACGCACTTTGTTCACATACTCGGCAGCAACTTCTTCAGACTTGTATATCATTGGAAAACATATTTCAACACCATGAAATTTAACTCTCGGATCCAATACATTTGCAACAGCCATCAATAGATTGCACTCACCCCAATATTTATCAAACTTTTCTTTCATTTGCGTTGCCATTTGTATCATAAAAAGATCATCATCATTTGTCGCATCATCAATTACTTGCTTCACTTTCCAGACCTCTGAAAGATACAAGTTGGCAGTAGGATATTCACTTCCAGATATTAAATTGGTAGCTAAGTTGAAAACCTCTAAAAGTTTACAAACTTTCTCGACTTTCTCCCAATCTTCATTTGAAGGTGCAAATGTATAATGAGGTTCTCTTTCTTGGTATTCTGAGAAGACAATCTTGAATTTTAAAGCAGCGGCTAACATGTGATATGTAGAATTCCACCTTGTTGGACAATCAATTATCAACTTCCTTTCTTTTAGATGCTTTTGTTCAACTACTTCACCAAAACTCTTCAATCTTGAATCATTGAAGTTTACATACTTCACACTTTCACGAACATTATGGATGATATCTTTGATTCGACTAAGCCCATCTTGCACCAAAAGATTCAATATGTGTGCACAACATCTAACATGAAATAGAGCTCCATCGAGGACAAGCTTGGTGCTGCGTGATATGTAGTCTTTTAGATACCTCAAGCACGAGTCATTATATGAAGCATTGTCAACTGATACTGAGAACACTTTATCTTCGATCCCCCAAGCCTTCAAACATTTGAAAATGGCATTGGCTACATCAATTCCTCGCCTTGGAGCAGGCACCTTGACAAAGCTTAAAATCCTTTTCTGAAGCTTCCACCCAGAATCTATAAAATGACCAGTGATTACCATATATTCAATCACTTGATGACTGGATTTCCACATATCTGTTGTCAAGCTAATCTTGCTCACACTCTTTAATAATTCCTTCAATGCTTTTCTTTCTGCTTCATATATTGCTATGCAATCACTTCGTATCGTCTTACGAGAAACTTTCTGAAATTCAGGGTTCGCATACTGAAATGACCATATAAAAGCATCGTCTTCTACAATGCTAAAAGGATACTCATGTACCATAATAGAAGTGGCAATGACTTCCCTCATCTTTTCATTAGAAAATCTAAACCCCGGACTTATAAACGGATTACTTGAATTGGATGGCTTAAAAGGAATGACACATTGTTTCTTTTGTGAAGCCATTTGTACTGACCTCTGCAAACACCCTTCTGAATGTCTCTTTAGATGGCTTGTGCTCGCACCTCTTCCCCCAGTAGCAAATGCATTTTTACAGTATTTGCAAATAGCTTTCTTAACACCTTCAGCAACTTGAATTTCATCAAAGTCATTCCACACAATTGAAGTTTTTTTCCTTTTTTTCCTATTGGCACCTTCATTTGCTTGATTTGAATTCCTTTCGTCTTCATTTCTGTTATCATCCACAGGTTGGCTTGAAAGGGAATCCACTGATATACTATTGTGTGTATCAGATGGAAGATCAAAAATATTTGTTTCATCCATCGAAGCCATATCCTGCTTCAAAATAAATAAAAAAATTTATTTAATTAATGATATACATTATAAACGAAAATATCAGAAACTGTTCATTCTTGTAAATATATATCTTATATTTTTCTACAAAAATATAAAATTTTCATTTTAATCTAAATAATATAAAACACAAAAATAAAAATAACAAAACTATTTTAAAAAAATGACGTTATAAAAAAAAAAAAAAAACGTCATAAAAAAATATATAAGATAAATAAAATATAACAAAAAAACAAAAAATATATATATTGAAATTCATATCTAAATAAAAATAACGAAAAAAAATATATAAAAACGATATTTACCTTATTTTTCCAAATTCCACCGGTAGCAATAAAAAAGAAGAGGCGATGAAGACAGAAGAAGGAAAAAGAAAAGTAGTGGGTCTCTGTGAAGAAGATTGCAAAACCCTGGACGGCGTGGAGGTCTGGCAGCAGTTGCAGGCTTGCAGCGGTGGAAAAGGAATATGGACAGTTGTTGTTCAGTTTACAGCGGGATAATATTTGAATTATGATAAAAGAAACAAAAAAAGGAACATGTGTGCAGTAGTTGTTCATATTTGAAATTTTTTATTGGGATAAAAATTATTTTTATTTTTGTTTTTTTTTAATAAATTTATAATTAAAATTTTTTTTTTATATATCATTATTATATATAAAACTATTCTTATTTTATAATAATAAAAAATAATTTTATATAATAATAATATTATTATTAAACAGGCCGGCCTGTTTAGTAAATAGGCTTTTTCATAAGCCTAAGCCTATTCTGTATATATAAACAGGCTTTAACAAAAATCTGAACCTGGCCTTTCTAATAAATAGAACAGGCCAGGCCAGGCTTGATGTAGGCCAGGTCATAGGCCCCTGACAGGCCTCCTGGCCTATTTCCACCCCTAATCCCAAGCACTGAAGCAGCTCCATCGGGCATATCTTTTTGTCCTTATTCGCATCGAAGTGGCTGAATATTTATTCGTACAATTGATTTTTCATTAATTTATTTATGTATAAAGCTGCAAAAAATTATTTAAATGATTAAATAATTAGATGGATGGGGAAGACAAAGATGAATGATAGTATTGTAAATTGAAGTGTGTTGTTGGAGAAAGACGACATGTTTTGTGAGGCTATTCATTGTCCACTCCAAGGTTGTGACGACGCCATTTTGCGGCGCGGTCCCTGTGAACCGCCATACCAACAAAATAGCGAACACTACACACATATATAAGAAAAACTTATATATATTATATATTATAAGAAACTAATGCTTATAATTATTAATTTTATAGTAACACGTCAATGAAATACCAAATAACTAACAAATAAAAATAAATAATTAATCTGAAATTTTAAAATAAATAATAATGTAATAGCACTTCCAAAGTAATAAAGTAAATAACAAATTTAAAAATATAAGAAATAGTGGAAAAGAACTCTATGATGGGATGATGCCATTATTAGCGACTAGACCAGAGGAGAGGGGAGAGATATGTGAAAGGGAGGGGCTCCACAAAGCAGCGGACATTAGCAACTAGACCAGAGAGCACGGGAGAGAGATCACATGGGGAGAGGGAGGATGAGAAGTTAAGGGTTCAATTTCAAATTTGATGTCGATGCAGTTTTGGGGCTTGGGTTGGGCTTCGAAGGCTCTGGCCTAGCCTTCCCAGTGCCATGGCATCGCCGTGGCGGCGTTGAAACGTCCCACGACGTTGTTAAAGCATCTCCAAAAAACATTCTTTGATAAGGCGAGGCGAAGAGTTGCAGCGTTCCTTAAAAGCCGCCAGGATGCCATGGTATCGCCATGACGCCCGCCATAACAACAATGGTCCATTCAGTCCGTCAGCAAAGGCCGCGGAGGTGGACGAAATCGGGAATCGATTGGGAGATTATAGGTTTTAGGGTTCTTGGGGGAAGGGATAATTTTCGTGGTTGAGAAAAATAGATAGATAGAGTGAGTACGTTGTGGAGATTACTTAATGTGTGTTTATTTGCAATTTGGTTTAATTGGTTCAAATTAAAATTTTAAAAAAATTAATCTAGTTTATTTTGCAAAAAGTAATTATAATAATTTCGACATCATTTGTTGCCGACGGCCACGTCATGTTACATGTCAGCACCGGAAAATCCATGTCTACAACGGCATGTTCACGTATGAGCACGTGAGGTTAGTAGTCTTCTTTTCAATGTCGGAGGACAAAAATAATGAAAAAAAATTATCTAAAAATAATAATTTAACCCATATAAGGGACATTTTTTGCAAATTTTCCAAAAATTTATATAAAATACATGAAATTTTAAATGTAAATAAAAATATTTATTTTTTAGAAGAGAAATATAAATAAATGAGTTTGAATAGATCTACATGATGTATGATACTTTCTTTGTTCCACTTTTTTTGTTTACTATTTCTATTTTCGTTCGTTTCACCTTATTTGTCTTTTTCTTTTCTAGGAAATACAATTATACACTTTAATCATATTTTAAATTTTAAATTTTTATAATTTTAATTATACTATTTAATTATCTTAATTATTTATTAATTATATTTTATCTAAATCTCCATATTTACGGTAAATTGGACATAAAAGATGGAACAAATGAAGTATTACTTATTATGTAGTTGATTTATATTTTTTAATTTAATAAATTTTATCTAAAATAAAAATTTGTCCATTGTTATGAGATAGATAAAAAATAAATAATGTATCAATTAAAATGAAACGGAAGGAATATTAAAACACACGTTGTTGTATGGATAGACGCAAAAATATATTATTATACCCTCTTATTATTATTATTATTATTATTATTATTATTTAAATAAAAAAAAATGTGTTTGTCCTCTTCTTAAACAAAGTCCTCGTTCGTTTCTCTTCGAATAACACACCTTCCTATTTGTTTGGTTTCTTTGACTGCGTTGCTCGTGCATGTCGTTGTCGCTTTCAGCATTGACGATTTCCGTTGATTTTGTCTCTTCCCTTCTGACATCATTTGAAAGTAGTTTTTCATATTTTTCTTCAATAATTTATATTTTATGGTGTTTTAGTGAAATCTGCTTATTATATTTTGGCTATTTTATGACGTGGGACAAAAACAACCGTTATTCTTAGTACTTTTGTAAATTAAGTTTGACAAGATAATTATATTAAGTGTGTTTTCTTGTGGGGACATGTGATCTATATAGTTTCTTTTCATTTTCTTTTCTACATAGTAAAACAAAAGCTTGCTGATTATGATGATTCTAGATTGGTTTATGATTCACAACAACGACTAACAAAAAGCATTATGACTCATCACCTATTTTCATAATAGATGATGAAGTATAACATAGAAGAATATTTTCTTATGACTCAAGAGATTTATCAATCTCATAAATTTACAAGGATTTCAGCGATTTATTGGGCATCATTTATTTTGGGATTGGATAATGTATAATTAGGCGGACTACATTTTGATTTCCTTTTAGGTGACCAATACCATTGAAACATGAATGTCTTCTAGTTTGTCATAGTTTAATGGATATTAAGGAAGTTAAGTTTTGTCATAGATCAATTGACCGACTATGCAAGATACGGAATAAACTACTAAACAAAATTAATTACTAAAAACAAGAAATAACAAACAACTAAATAGAACTAATTAAGTAAGAAAAGAAACAAACTAATTAAAGCAAGGAAAAAGATAAGTGAAAGATATTCAAACTTAAGTCAATACTATCGTAAGCATGACCTGATACATTTCTAGCATTAAATCATACTTTACGAAGGCACCACCTCGGCTAATACTTTGAAGAACTCTTTTATCTTCTCCAAATGCGATAAACTTAAGGCTCAGGGTCGTCTCGGACTTTTTTTGAGTCCCCACTGAAAATAAATTATAAGCCCTATAAACACACGATTAAAATATATTTTCAAAATAATATTTCTTATTGGCGTCAATTGGACAAAAGGTTTGACGTGACTGTCTGGACAAGGTCAATTTGAGAAAAGAAGATAAAAAAACGGTCTGTTCGGAAGTTCAAAAAGCGAGAATGAGTGAAAGAGAGTGAAAGAGATAGGAGAGAAGGTGAGGCGGATTTGGTCTGAATCGGTGGACGCAATACGACAGGGTGTGGGTAAAGAAGTGTAAACAACGATTAAATTTGGAAAGATAAGGTGAGGTGTGGTTATGAAGAAAGAGATAAGAAAAAATATATGATTAGAATTTAAAATTTAATTTTAAAATTAAATTGGATAATATGAAAAAAAATATAAACTAAAAGTTAAAATTTAATTTTAAAATTTAATAATAATAATGATAATATTTTAAAAATATACTATATTATTAATTAGAGGCATAAGCAGTTGTTCACTCTACTCCTCCTATGAGCCGCCTCTCTATACTTGTTATATCTTACAAAACATCCAAAACTACTTATTTATATGAATGAAACAAGATAATAGTGACATGTGAGATTCTTTATTATATATAACTGGTCCTAATTGATAGTCTCCCACTAGTGCATGTGTGACACCCCGGCCAGTAGATTTTTTACAATGCGCTTTTATTTTCACTCACGTGTATTTTGAGAGATTTTTCGGGAGTCACCAATTCTCAAATTATTTTAAAGCAAACACGCTTGACTTTAGGATTCTTTCAATATGACTCAAGAGAAGGAAAGTGCACAACTAGTCTATTCAATCCAACAAAATATTAAAAATTCAAATAATATAAAATTTAAAAGTCCAAAAAAAAAATCAAATAATAACTGAATACACTTTAATGTCAAAAGAAACACCTAACTTATTTTCGTTATACTATTAAAAATATTATTCTAAAATAATAAAAAAAAATTCTAATAAAGCATCCATGTCTCAATTAAATACGGGCTGTGCAGGCCGGACGGTTTTGCGAAATGCAACGGGGTGCGGAATGCAGTAGCCAGTAGAAAGTGCCTTTTCTATCGCATCTGCGAAATGCAATGGGGTGCGGAATGCAGTAGCCAGTAGAAAGTGCCTTTTCTATCGCATCGCATAGCTATGTCGTTGTATGCTTTCCGACGACCTCCCTCCCCCTCCCTTTCCCTTTCCCTTCCCCTTTCCACCCACTGCCTTCCCTGCGTTCCGCGTTTCCACTGCCGATACTTCTCCATCGCTTCTCGACCTCCTCAATATTCTGATTTTCCCGATACATCCAATCACTCCGTGAATACCACTGCACTCAAATGGATTTCCGCGGGAATCTTTACCTGCTCTACCCTTGCCCTTTCCTTCTACACTTCTCTCGGTACCGCCCCATTTCCATCTCATGCGGACTCATGTGAGCCAGCTCCGCCCGCCTCCACAACTGCTTCTCTTTCGCAACCCTCGCCGCCTAATCAAAACAATGGATCTAAATTTCTCCTTGGAGGTAGAGGGGAAGCGGCCCACCGCCACCGCAAACGCAAATTTCTTTGCCCCGATGATTACTACTTCTCTATAATTATATGATGCAAATACGTGCTTCTTCGATCATTGCAGATGCATATAGAAGAAGGGTCTTCTTTAATTACGAGAAACGCATTAGGATGCGAAGCCCTCCGGAGAAGGTATGCTCTTGAACTGTGTTCAAATTTCATTTCAACAGATTAATCATCTTCAATTCAAGGCATAAAGGCCATTTAATGCTTGTTCTGACTAATTTATCGTTTAGGCTGAACTTTCTGTTTTCTGGATTTTACCTTTTTTTAGAGGTGGGATTGTTTATTTTTAACCATTCCTTGATATACTTGCATTCAGAAGTATAAAAGATGTAACAGTGGGTGCTCTGGTATGGAGCTGTGCTGTGCTGGCAGCCTGGAGCCAATGCCGGAGCACCATCACCTGCAACAGTTACTGTAATGTAATGAGTTAAAAATAATTGACCAAAAATTAAATTTAGAATTTCTAGGAATCTATTAATCTGTGAATAAAAATGCCATGGAGAAACAAATTAATTAATTTGGGCTTTTAATGGGCTAATTAAGGGCTAACTTGGGTGATTAAGGGGATAATTAACTAAATCAATAGTTAATCATCTCAAATTGAAAAAATAAACACTATCATTATGTGTTTATATACAATATAATTGTATAAGATAGCATAAGAGTGTGGCTAGGGGATATGTATGTCAGTGGAGCCGGAGGTGCCTATAAAAGACACTCCCCATTCCTCACCTGTAACATTCCCTCTAAAGTCTTGTTTTATTTTTGTTTATACTGTATATTTTTGTGCCTGATTCATCTAAAGTCTAGCTGTCTGTTCAGCATTTGTAAAAACCTTTGATTATTTTGTGTGATATGTTCTCTACGCTATGCTTATGGAAATAGGCCTCTGACCTACTTGTACCTTCCAAAGGTGTTTGAGTATTTTGCATCCATTCGTAACGATGAAGGAGAAATTTTTATGACACCAGCTGATCTCATGCGAGCAGTGGTTCCGGTATTCCCTCCATCGGAATCACTCCTTGTAAGAGATGGATATCTCAGAGGTGAAAGGAGTCCTGGTGAATTGCAATGTTCTCCTTCGCAGTTTTTTATGCTGTTTGACACAAATGGCGATGGTTTGATATCATTTAAAGAGTAAGTTATCATTTGTAGCTTTGTTGTAAGAATGTAACTACACTGTTTATTATTTTGTTTTTACAATAAATTCACCCCAGTTTGTTTTATCCCTCATTATGAGTTTTCCCTTGTTACACTATTTTCTGGATTTCATCTATGTATATGTGAGGGAATTCTCCCTAAAATTGACTATATTTTTATTTCAACAGGTATTTATTCTTTGTCACACTTCTCAGTATACCAGAATCAAGTTTTTCTGTGGCATTCAAGATGTTTGACCTTGACTGCAATGGGTGGGTTCAATTTAACATTAGTCATCAACATACATACCTGGAATTCCTTTTAATTAACTTGTCATCATAGACGCCTGTGATAGTGCTATTGGAGGCTTATATCTTAGCACTTAATGAATCAGTTGAAGAGTTAGAATTGATAGTAGGCTTTGGTAAAATATCTTATTAAGTTATTATAATAGATCTAGTTGTCGTGAAGGGAGAATTATAACATGCAAAAATTCTATCATGATCGCTGATCAGATTAACTTCGATCAGCGATATATGCATAACTAAATTTACGGAAAGGGGTCTTTGTTTTTCTGTGAACTGTCTCATTAACTATCAAAATGCACTCAGTTTAATCCTTGCTGATGAAAATTTGTTTTTGGAAATAGCCAAATTGACAGAGAAGAATTTATGAAGGTGATGACTTTGATGCGAACTCATAATAGGCAAGGGGCAGTTCACAGTGATGGACTTCGAGCTGGGCACAAGTTACAGAGTTCTGTAGAAAATGAAGGCCTATTGGAGTACTTCTTTGGTAGAGATGGCGAGAAACTTCTCCAACATGATAAATTTGTCCACTTCTTGAGAGATCTGCATGATGAAGTATGTTGATATTTTTCAAGTTGATATTTTCAATCTGTGATATTTTCCATAGAATTTGTGCCTTTTTTCTACAGCTGTTGAAGTTTGTTTTAGTTAGCATCTACAACATACCTGTCTCCTTAATTTATTTAGATTTGATATGTTTCGTTTTACTTACTAATTACTATATATATATGTGTGTGTGTGTGTGTGTAACTTTTCAATTCTGAAAATAGATCATATGTATTTGTATAAATATTCATCATGATATATGAAATAATATACCTTCTCAGGCCTCAGCCAATCCCTAATTTGGTATAATAGCTAAATGCTGCTGTCTCCCTTTAGCTGAAACCCTAGCTGTCGCCCATCCTTCCCCTTACACTCCCCCAGTTCTTGTTTTTTCTATAAGGTCTGGGAAAGCAGAGGTTAGTAGTCCTGATACAAAAAGTAATCCATGGTAACTGCTAATGATATTTCTTTCCCAATATATATTTTTTTTCAAGCTGGATGGCGCAAAGTATGGTGTTTGGTCTCAAAATTTGAAGATGCTTATTGCTAGTGAAAGGAAAAAAGGACATGTTAAAAAATTTGTCTCGAGTCTTCATGTAGAAGATTAAAATAAGGGATGCTTTTTCCGTGATCATAGAGCATCCGATCAGTGTGGGTTTTGAAGTCATTCTCAAACATTGTCCATCACATTTCTAATTTTATATTGCAACAGAGTCTATCTAAAATTCATTTTGCCGTTGCTTTTCATTTATTTATTGTGTTTATTCCTAGTCATTTTCAGGGAGCCCTTGATGCTTCTAAGTAGAAATATGCTATGGTAGACAATGAGGGTCTTTTAAAAGAACAATACTTGTAAGTTAGTTGAGCTTATTGGGGATAAAAAGGCAATAGGATGTTATTTTATTTTATTTTAGTAAAATACAAATCAGATGGAACAATTGGCATTATACAAAACTAGATTGGTGGGCAATGAATACACTAAAACCTATGGAAGCGACTATCATAAGACTGTCCTTGTTGCAAAAATGAACATTGTTAAGGTTATATTAACCCTTGCACTTAATCATGATTAGCCTCTAAGCTAGCTTAGCGTGAACTGTTGTATTCTTACATGTGACCTTCTTGAAGAGATGTATGTGTAGGATCAGGATTAACTCTCACACTCACATAAACAAGAAAGTGGAACACAAAGGATTACGTAGTTCGACCGATAAAGGTTATCGACCTACGTTTACAGGGGCAACCAAGAAGCTTTCCTTATTACTTCAGTATGAGGCGGCACGGAGTTTACAAATACAAGAGGGGTATTTAAAGACTAAGTTTAGGGTTAATCACAATTGGGTCCGAACTCCTAAGCCCATTAGGGTTAACTATCCTAAAGAAGCCTACACTTAACAATCTCTCACTTGGAGGCTTTGAAACATCTGCGCTCCATTGTACTTCCGTAAATCCTCAGCTTCACTTGATTGTCCCGGTCTTCTCATCATTTCTCATGAAGACAAGCTGAAGTCATGCATAACTTCACTTGTCTAATGTCACAGTCTTTGTGAACATATCTGTTGGATTCATAGCGCCTGAGATTTTCTTCAACTTCATTGTTCCTTCACTTATTTATCTTCTGATAAAGTGATATCTCATCTCAATATGCTTTGTTTTCCCATGATAGACCGGATTCTTGACAAGTTTGACTGCAATTTCATTGTCACAGTGGAATGAATAATTTGTTTGCCTTTTATCCAACTCTAGGAGGAACTTCTTTAGCCAAACTAACTCTTTGCTAGTCTCAGCAACTACGATATTCTCAGTTCTGTCGTCGAAAGCGCCACACTTTTCTGAAGTTTAGACATCCAGCTGACTGCAGTTCCTTCTACTGTGAAGATGTACCCTGTAGTGCTCTTAGGCGTCTTTTTGCATTTAGCTAGATCAGCATCAAAATACCCTGTGAGAATCACATCTTTGCCTCTGAAACATAACTTCATCTTGGAAGTACCTTTCAAATACCTTAGTATCCACTTGACGATTTCCCAATGTTCTCTCCTCGAATTTGACATGTAGCGACTAACAACCCCGACTGCATGAGCAATGTCTGGTCTCGTGCACACCATTGCATATATGAGGCTACCACCTGCAGATGCATAAGGGACTAGCTTTTGTTTGTTTCTCGGAGACTGATCTTTGGTAAGCTTGAAGTGGCTTCCCAAAGGTGTGTTTCTCGGCTTAGTCTTCTTAGGGTGTGTTTGTTTGGGGGTTTGAATTTTGAGTTGGGATTTGAATAGTAAAAATTTTGAATTTGAATAGTTGTATGATGTGATATAAATAGGTGTTGATGTGATGTTTTGAATGTAAAATTGATTTTTAGTATAATATAAAAAATGAAAAATAGGGATTTGATTTGATGTTTTGGGAGGAAAATTTTGGATGAATAGTAGAATTTGGATGAAATCCTACAAACGAACACACCCTTACTATTCATGTTGAACTTCTTTTTAACACTTTCCCGATATACTTCTCCTGAGATAGTGTTAGAGTGCCATTCTTGTTTCTGACTATACTCATCCCAAGTATCTGTTTGGCTGGACCTAAGTCTTTCATCTCGAATGCCTCAGCCATCTGTTGCTTTAACTTATTGATTTCTCTCATGTCTACATCGGCTATCAATAACTTCTTCACATAACAGCAATGGTCCATTTGGCATCTCTTGTACCCTATTCTCATCATGAAATTTTCTAACTTCATGTTCGATTGCCTGGGGGCTTGTTTTAGACCATATAAGCTCTTCTTCAGCTTGCAGACCCAATTCTCCTTGCCAGCAACCTGAAACCCCTCAAGTTGTACCATGTAGATATTCTCATTGAGATTACCATGTAGAAATGCTAGTTGCTCTAGATGTAAGCCCCCTGCAGCTACAATATTGAGAACCAATCTGATAATGGTCATCCTTACGGAGAATCTAGTGTAGTCTACTTTTTTTTTTTTTTTTTTTTTTTTTTTTTTTTTTTTTCTGAAATCCTTTAACCGCTAAGCGAGCTTTGTACCTTTTCGACCCACCTGGTTCATCATTGATTTTGTATACTCATTTATTTTGAAGCGCTCTTGTCAGAAGGAAGTTTAGTCAAAATTCATGTCTTGTTTTTGTGCAAGGAACTCATCTCTTCTTTCATGGTCTGCTCCCACCGAATCGAATCATTTTGCTTGATTGCTTCATGATAACTTTCTGGTTCATCATTTTCAGTCAGGGGGAGATAGTTTACGCTAGGATCATATCTAACTGGAGGTTTGGTGACTTTAGTGGATCTTTTGACCCACTGTGACTCGGCTGGCTACGGCTGCACCGGTGAAGGGGGAGGTCTTTCATTCTCCTTGATTGCCTTCAAACTTGTCAGTATTGGATTCATTCTCCTGACTCTCACTGTCTTGAAGACCCACTGACTTTCTGGTTGTGATAACATCATTGTCAAACTAACCTGTTCTTTCGCAACCGTCGAACTTTTTGTGCTTTTGTCTTTGAAAAGTTTAGCCTCACTGAATGTAGCATGCTTGCTTCTGACAACTTTTTTACTTTCAAAGTCTCATAGCCGATAGCCCATCTTGTCTCCTCTTTATCCAATGAAGGTGTATATTCTGACTTTAGCATCTAACTTGTCACTATCTCTTGTCAGTTTTATAAGCACTGCATTCGAACACTCTAAGTGTTCATACTTCACTGATTCCCCTTTCCACTCTTTTTCGGGTATCTTGAAATCCAATGGCACTGATGGTCCTCAGTTGATAAGACAGGCAACCGTGTTAACTACATCGGCCCAGAACGCCTTTGAAAGTCCAACATTCAGTCTCATGCTTTTGGCCCTCTCATTCAGTGTTATGTTCATTCTTTCTGCAACTCCGTTATGCTGATGAGTGCCTGGGACAGTCTTGATCATCCGGATCCCGTGTTCAGCACAATACTTGGTGAACTCTGTGCTGATGTATTCACCTCCATTATCTGATTTCAAGCACTTCACATTCAAGTTAGTTTCTAGTTCAACAACAGTCTTCCATTTCTTCAAAAGTATTGAAAACTTCAGACTTGTTTTTAAGAAAATAGACCCATACCTATTGAATCATCGATGAACGTTACATGGTAGTTTGATCCGCCAAAGGAAGAGACTGGTGTTGGTCTATACTCCATAGACATCAGAGTGAACCAATTCTAGCTTATGAGCTTTCAGTGTCCTCCCATCTTTACAAAAGAGACTTTCTTCTTCTTGCCAAGCACACAGGGCTCACAAAACTCAAAATCCACCCTCATGTAGAAGCTTTCCTCTTGCGACATGCATCTTCATTCCTTTTATACTCATGTGGCTAAGTCCTTGGTGCCACAAAACAGATGGACTTTGCTTGCTAGTTACTGCATTCGCTTCATTTTCAGAGACATCGGCCATGTATAGAGTACCCCTCTTTTTGCCTTTGGCAATTACGAGATTGCCTTTGACGACTCTCCAAACGTGATGTTGTATCCCTAATCATCTAGTTGCCTAATGGAGATGAGCATTTTCTTAAGATTAGGGATTACCCTAACGTCTTTCAACGTCCAGATAGTGTCCGAAGAGATCTTTAGATCTATGTCACCTATCCCTGCGATGTCAAGAGAGTCGTTATTAGCCAAACGAACTTTACCAAAGTTACATGTCCATAGATTCTTTATCATCTTTGTGCTAAAAGTAGCATGGAATCCATAATCCACGACTCAGTTGAATTCTCAACTCAACAAATTAGTGCATTGTCTGAGCTGTCTGTAATGGCATTCACCTCCTTTTGCTCTGGTGGTTTTGAGCATTGTTTTCTAAAGTGCCTATACCCTTTGCAATTCCAACATTGAAAGTCCTTCATTGGGTTTGATTGATCTCTCTTTTTGGATTTTGATCATCCTCTCCCATTTCTTTCTTTCTGCCTCTTCTCCGTGCTCAACAGGGCGCTTGAAGTTTCATCAGAGTTTCGCCTTTGTATATCCTTTCCGATGATTAAATCAC